TATTTCAACACTTAATGAAATAAAAGCCATTGAGCTTGAAGTACTAATTACTCTTGCACGTATAATATCCTCCTCATGTTGACGGTAAGAAAGCTCAGTGCTGCCAAGGAAAATATCCTGAAGTGATATGTAAATGAGAGCCAGAAAGAGTAAGCTCAGAAAAGAGGCAGAACTCCAATGGCGATTTTCTTATTACAACAGTGAAAAGCCATTTCAGGGAAAATGGGACAGATACCCAAGAAGTTTACATAGAAACACAACGTTCGAAATAGTCAGGGAGGAAAATAAAGGGGGGAGGGTGGTGTATGGGTTAGATCCTTAACCCATTGCCAGATGTCTGTGGATTTAATTCTCCAATTACAGTTTAGCAAGCGCTTCAGCAATTGCAGCTCTATGAATTGGTATGAACTAGTGTCCCATCCAGTCATGTAGTCCACACATTATTAAACACATTATTAAGCAACAAGTAAGCAATGACCCATTGAGCCGCTTTGGCTTGTAAAGCAATAGAATTGAACAGTAAAGAATTTAAAAATAGACAATGGACCCTATTTGTCATAAATGAGCAGAGATCAGAGATAAAAGAGCATAGCTGCTACCACTAAAAGGGGAGTATTAACAAACCGCTGCAACAGCTTTTGAAAGTGTAATTTAGGGGTCAGGTTTCATGTGTGGTTAAATGCACCTCAACAGCACAGCCAATCAAAGCACTGTGGGGGAGTAAGGCTGCAATCAAGAAGGTTGTAGCTTGATGCCTACCATCTCCTGTGTATCTGTATCTGTCACAGGGGAAAGAAAGCAGGGTTTCCAGGGTACCGAGAACAGGAGGCACCTCTTTATGCAAAAGGTTGTGGAAGTAAGCAATAAGCTAACTGCGTTAAAGACATGTCTGGAGGAGATCCTTGGCTCAATTTGCTACTAACTACCAACAGGTTCGGTGAAGCCAAATAATAATAATAATTGCTTACCCTTATATAGTGCTTTTCTGAACACTCCACTCAAAGCGCTTTACAGGTAATGGGGTCTCCCCTCCACCACCACCAATGTGCAGCCCCACCTGGATGATGCGACGGCAGCCATAGTGCACCAGAACGCTCACCACACATCAGCTATGTGAGCAGAGAGCAGAGTAATGAAGCCAATTCATAGAGGGGGATTATTAGGAGGCCATGATTGGTAAGGACCAATGGGCATACACCCCTACTCTTTTTGAGAAACGCCCTGGGATTTTTAATGACCACAGAGAGTCAGGACAGAGAGTCTCATCCAAAGGACACACCTGTTTACAGTAAAGTGTCCCCATCACTAAACTGGGGCATTAGGACCCATGTGGACCACAGGGTGAGCGCCCCCTGCTGGCCCCACTAACACCTTTTCCAGCAGCAACCTTAGTTTTTCCCGGGAGGTCTCCCATCCAGGTACTGACCAGGCTCACACCTGCTTAGCTTCAGTGGGTTGCCAATTGTGAGTTGCAGGGTGATATGGCTGCTATTGACTTGCTTTCGTTTCCATAACTTTTCTTTTGTTCCTGTGTCAGCTGGGGCAAAATTGCTGTATACTTTGTGTTTCATTGCCTCCCTCCTTGCCAACCCTTAATAATTAAACAAAACATCTAATTATTTATTAAACAACTGATTACACAGTATGCTGTCTTGCACATTCTCTTTGTTGTTCATTTTCTCTCTGCTCCTTTTCTTCTGATGTTACATCTAATTAGTTTTGTCCACAGCTGTGGCACACTACTAAAAAGTCACAAACAATATAGTTTCTAACAATATACAGTGTGTAGTTCTAGTTACTAACATTAAAAGTAACATTTGGCTGACGCGTTAAAGTGCAAAACTTAAACTGTCTAGTTTGGTAGTTCTTTTAGCACACAAAGTCTTTCAGTTGTTATGACAACTTAACACTTCATCAAGCTCTGGGTTTAGTGGTAGTTATGTGCTTCACTTGAAGGTTCTATTTCTAGGTTCTGGTTTACAGGAGTCTTGATTAGTCAGCAGCTGCTGGATTGACACAGGGCTGAGCAATCTTGGTGTTTCTTGGGTGTAATATTGCTGATCTCTACCCACTTTTGTACCGCTTGTTGAAACCTGCTTATTGATTTATTTTGTTGTCTTTCTGTTGAACTGGTCTGGTTTAGTTTCTCCATCAATTGTTAATTGTTCCTTTGCATTTTCTGAGATGTCAAAGGTTCCATCTCAGAATCCTTCCATTTGATAGGTTTACATGTTTTGGCCTCATATCTAAAAGTTTTAGCGCTGCAGCTTTTGCTCTATGACCCATTGTTTGTTTTAAAAAGTGTACTCTCACAACGACCCCCTTGTTGTAGCTTGGCCAGGTCCCTTGAGGTTTCTTTATATAACATGCTTGATCTGCCAGTCGGTCGTGTCCTGCTTACCTTGGGCTAAGGCAGACATCCACACATTAGTATTAGGTCACATCCTAATACTAAAGTCCGAGCTCCCACTTTGTGACGTTTTGGTGGTTCAGGATAGCTACGTGGACTTTTTGCTTTTGATCTTCTAGCACTTTCTTCCACTGGAAACGTGTCTTTCTGTTGCTCTGGGGAAAACCTGGAGAGGTGAAGTTCTTTTAGTGCAGCCAATAGTCAGAAGAGTTTATGCAATGTTGTTTGTTTCAACTCCAGTTTTCTTCAAATATTCAGCTCTGTGAATCCACTATCACATTCTTCTTCTTTCCACTGCCTGGATCCCAGCATTGTGACCCACAGCTGTCACCAGGACTCTGTCACTGGATTCATCTGTCATCTGTCATGGAATGTGAAATATGGACCACTATCTGAACAAATGTGATTTTGTCTTTCATAGTCGTAGAAATTGGAGCAGTAATCCACAGAATACATTCCTTGTAATCAATAGTGAATAGGTCAGTCCCTTTTACAGATCTCACTATTTGCCCTCTATGTCCTGTTAAGGTATGTCTGGCCAATATTGAAATCCCTAGCCTGTCTCAAATATCCTTACAAGTTCAGATGAGTGAACCTTATTCATTATTTCCTTCCTTAGTATATCTGGGATTTTACAGTTGTCTCTACAGAATATTATTTCACCCTATGAAACAGCTTGTTTTTCAAAGCTGCTGATTGAAATACCTCACAGCCAATCTTCTGAGATAAGTACGTTTTCCAACAGTTATAGGTTCTCTCTCATACTACATTCTGGTAGATACTGTATGCTCCGCTTAAAGTGTCAGTTAACAGTATGACCTTGATGTTATTGTTTTATTGTTATGATTCACTAATCTGCGTCGCATGCTTCATAGTCTTTTTTGAGCACTTAGCAGCAGTATCTTTAGTATGTTTTATAGTGGCTTATGGGCAGGCTGCACCTCAGCTCATCAACCATATCTACTGTATACTGCAGAAATTTGTCACTTTAGGCAAACTGGCTCAGTCTTCTGTTTCGATCTGCTTGTAGTCACATTCTGTTAGTGTTAATACTTACTTAAGCTTCCTGCAGCAAGACCATCTCTGAGGAATCACACTATAAGTAGATTGTGGTACAGTATCATGGATAATAGAGGAAAGCTGCAGTGCTACAGTATAGGCAAACATGTGAGCTTTTTTCTAAAGTCAGGTCTTCTTGCTTTAAGAGTAAGCTGTAAGGGGGTTTTGAATTCCACACTCAATATTATCCCTATGACAGAATGGCGCAATGGTTAACATTGGTGCTTTACAGTGCTATCTGCATGTAGTTTGTATGTTCTCCCTGTGTTTACATGGGTTTCCTCTGGGTGCTTTGGTTTCATCCCTGATTCCAAAGACGTATTAGTAGATTAATTGGCTTCTGTGAAAACTGCCCCTGGTGTGAGTATGTGTGTCCCTAGAGAAGCGCTGGCACGCTGTCCAGGGTGTTCCCTGTCCTTGCTCCCCTTGCTTGCTGGGATAGGCTCCAGTGTTCTGCGACCCCGTACAGGGCAAAATGGTTAGATGATGGATGGATGAATATTATAGCTAATAAGTGAATATTTCTTTTAATTTTCACATGACCCCAAAAACCCTAAGGCGTGTGAAACATTTATATGTGTTCTCTGACATTTTCTGGTTTCTCATTTGTACTGAGCCTCACAGAAGGTGTCTGACTTCATCCTTTTGGAACTTTGATAACGTCGATTTCTCCCCCCAGTGTTTTGGCATTGCAAAGTTATTTCTCAGTATTATTTTGCTTATAAATCCATTGTTGGCAGGTGGTGGTTTAATCTGAGATCGCTAGGCTGTTCACAGCTTCACAGGACAAAATGGGTCCTGTAGTATTTTAAGTTTTTTTTCCTTTTCTATACATGATATCTCACTCTTTTTTTGTATGCTTTTATTGGCATTCATTCCTACAATCAGCTGTGTGATCTGTGCGCAGTTTTGACCTGGTTTCAGCATCAGCTGAAATGTTAGCGCCATTGCTTGCTGATAGTTCACCAGATTGGTACAGTTGGATGTACAGTAAATGAGGACTGTCCTCCAAAAATCAAGCCTCTGCCTTGTACTATGTTTTCTTAATAAAAGTGGTGGGCAAACAGTGTTCTCCCACATGTGTGCCTAATTGTGGTGAATTATCTGCAAAAGTGGCTTGAGATTGGTTAGGGCTTTGCAAACAGTGCAGAATAGGGCCAAGTAAGTCAAAACTACTGATAATGGTTACAAATGAGAGAAAGCCATTTGGCCAATATAGCCTGTTTGGTTTTTCAGTAGTAAGTTAGTGCAAGGATTTCATCCAACTGGTTCTTGAATGAAGTCAGGGTATCAACATTAATAACACAGCTGGGTAGGTCCTTCTGTATTCCATAGCCCTTGATATAAAGTATTAAGGTGGGGTTTTTATTTATGTTTATTTATTTATGTTTATTTTCAGAATATTTTTGCTCCACTTTTATTTTTTTTAGCTTTAAATAATACATATACTTTGGTGTTTTACTGGATCTCTGGGTCCTCTGAGGTTAATCTTTGACACATTATTTCATGATACAAATCTCTTGTTTTTCAGTCAAGCTGCAGCTCCAGGCAACAGCAGTTGGTGAAGTCATAATCAAAGGGATTTATGCAAATCGATACCTTGCGATGAATGAGGATGGAAGGCTTTTTGGTTCGGTAAGTTAAGCATTTTCTGAGAGGGATGTACCAACTTTAGAATAGACTATGTATCTTGGAAATCCTTACAAATGTTACTGAAATGTCTATTAAATTATATCATTATCACATTACTTTCAATAACCACTTATCCAATTCAGGGTTACAGTGGCCAGGAGTCCTTCCTGGGAAGCATTAGACACAAGGTGGGATATGCCCTGGATAGGACAGACAGAAACTCACACCTGCTCCAATTTTCCCAGAAGTCAATTAACCTACCAGTATGTTTCTGGACTGTGGGACAAAACTGTAGCGCTCATGTTGACATGGGGAAAACATATAAACTCCACACAGATGAGATAGCACCCACTGAATTGTACCCAAGACCCCAGCTAACATCTGTACCACCGTGCTGCCCATATTTATTACATTTATTGATACATTTTGCTTGTAAATAGTTTTGGGGGAAAAATAATCCATAACAGTTACAAGTTGTGTAAGGGATTACTTTTTAAATTGATAGGCTGGGGGGAATTGCTTTTAAAAGGTAATATATAGCTATACATGGGAGCTATACTTACACTGCATACAGTACACCACAGTATCTGTTTAAAACATAACTTTTAAAACTCTTTTCCAAATGCCTTTACACATGCAAGTTGTATCTGTATCTGTATCTTTTAAAAAGGTTAATTAAAAATTACATTTAAAAAGCCATTGTCTACTCTAAATGACCTTTTTTGGTCCCCCAATGTAAAACTTGGAAAAGAAAACATGTACAGTATGATCGCTTTCTCTGTAGATCACAAGTCTAAATCAAAAGTGAAATGTTTTTTAATACTGATCCATCCACTTTTGGTTGGCTTCACAAACATATGTGTAGAAGAATTAAAAAAGATTTCTGAAAATTAGAGAACTGACTCATTTTCATGTATTAGTAGAATTTGTATAGTTTTCATTTGATAATTAAAAAGTTCCACAATATGTTGTGTTCAAGTTAATTTTAGAGAAAATGTATGGATCTCTTTCCTAAAGGGGGTATTCACTGTTCGTGAACTCTAGATGTCAAAGAAAGACTTTAAATATAAATTTTAAAATTATACCTTTGTCTTCTACTGAATATAAAGTCAACCATAGAAACAAAATCCTTTTATAAGACTAATAAACTGGCCTTCTCACATACACTTTTCTGTATACAGCCAATATATAGAGAAGCAGTTATCACAGCTTAAAATTCTGACACAAAATTATTGTCATGGGATCAACTCATACAAGTTGTGGGGCGTTGTTCATACAAGTCATACAACATATGTCAGAGTTCAGTGATTTCATTGTGTTAAGCAGCTGAGTAATGTACATGAAAATGTATATTTGTATGACGAAATTCCAAATGAATTGCCATTTGAAAACTAGAAAAGATATTTTCTCTGTTCAGCTGATGGGTGTGAACCAATGATCTTGACATTAATTTGGTGCTCAGACATTAATCCTGTATCATGAATGATCTTCTGCACAAGTCCCAAATATGATAATTTTCTATAAAATTACAGAAAGAAAGCTGTTTTTCATAGGGCCTAAAGTTTTATTCAATACAGAACATGATCAAAGCCCCAAAACTATTTTGCAGAAAATATTATGTATTTTGTACAATACACTTTGATATAATACACTGTCTTGTAAGCAATCAAAAAGTTCCAAACATAAAAACAAAAAAAATGAAATTTCTCCTAACAACAGGTGAGCAAATTAAAGTTTTATGTAAGGAGGGCTGTGGATGTGACAGGTCTCAGCCCTAATAAGGGTAGGCAAGGTTGTTACCGCTGATAATACAGTGCAAGCAATCGAAGCAAAAAGCTCAAACTCTTCAGAAGAAAATCGATGAGTGGTACAGTAAATGTCATAGACTAGCTGCTACAATGCTTCGTATTGACATCTCATGTATAGTTTACCTTGTGTTGTGTGATCGTGTTTTTGAAGATTACAATCAGTATGCGTTAAATGCTTCTAAATGGAAGCGTGATGTTTTTTCACCGAAACAGTCAATGTTTTTGTTATAGTAGAAAACACTAATGAGCAAGTAAATTGAGTAAATGTGAGCAAATTGTTGATGCTCATAACATACAAATATTGTAACTCCTGATTGTGTCTAAGATTACCCACACAGACTTTTGAAGGGCAGGGTACAGATGTACTAAGGAAAAACACTTTTTGTGTAGTATATTTTATTCTTGCAATATTCTTTTTCCCTTTTAAATTGTAATTTAAATTGTAATTCGCAAAATTGTACGCCAGTGTTTAGGTTAAATGAGACAACAGGAGCTTTAGAATCTATAGGAGCTAGTGATCACCTTAACAGAGAACACTAAGGATCCACAATGCTGGTGTTTTCCCACTGAAGTCAGATCCAACCTGTTGGTTATAATAGCAAATGCTGTGGGTTCTGAGAACCGGACTTGGATTTGTAATGTTTTCACCTACTGTACATCCCATGTGTTGCAGCCAAATATATAATATTTTAATACAGTATAAAGGATATTCACTGAGGGTAGTTATTTTTAAATACTGTTGTAGAGCCACATCAACCCAACTAAAAGTATATTTATTATAGCTGATTAATTATTTTCCAAGGCTACCAAAAAGGTTGCATTTAAACTGTAAAACAGGGGACAGTAACAAAACAACAAAGGTATTAACAAAGCCTACAACAACTATACCATTCTACAACAAAGGATGTATACTTTACCATTGATACCGAATGTTCTTGCTCTGCATCGTAAACCTTTCAATCTCAGGTTTTGTCAGAACTTGTGGTTACATTAGAGGTGATGTTTTATAGACACATCTTCTAGGTGCCACCAGTGACGAAAAGGTATTCGAAGGCAGATCAAGAACTGATACAAAGAACATTTTCCTTGTATCAGTTCTTTTCCCGGAGACAGTGTTTTATATATAAAGTCAGTGGCTGGAATACTTTGCCAGATCATGTCATAGCTACACAATGTTTTGTTAAGATGGCCACAGGAAGGAAATGAGCTGTGATAGATTGATTAGCCTGTTCTCTTTCATGTCCAAAGTGTTTCGTGCCTTAGGAAAATGTAGTGTTCTGTTCTTCGTTTTGTTGTTTTTACAGTTCCTTGAGTACTTTTTTTATTTATGTTATCTGAATCTAAAAGTGGATAGAAGCCCTAGATAATGTGTTGCCTTAGGAAAGGACATGCCCACTCTTAGATCAAAGTGCAGAGGAAAACAAACTCTGTTACAGTGACCTTTTCCAGCCTACTCAATAGTCCACAACATCACTGCATAGGGGCAGCCTACTGGAAAGCAGAGAGGGATATGCATGTGATTTTATTACATTGAGTAGATTCTGTGGGTTCCTTATTTTATCATCTGTAACCAACGGTTCAGACAGCCACTAAAACTTAGCTTAGGGGTCTCATTTTCCAAAGTACAAATCCTTCTCATTTCCCCCTGATTTTTACATTTTGGGGGAAACAATGCAGCAGCATGACAAGCAAAAAAATAAAAACTAAGACAAATGCCAATTTCTCACGTTCCCTTCCCTCTAATGTTCTTTTCATAAAGCTCTGAAGAATAATATGACTTAAGCACTCAAAAGTGAAAAACAAATAACTTGCTGTATTTTGCTATTGATTAATGCATGTTGGTTGAATAAAGAGAAGCATGTACCGTGAGCGGTGAAGTTCTTTGTTAATGTTTTTCACGCTAATTGCAAGGGTAAATAGATCGCTGGAATTTTTAGTTATCTATCAAAGACACTCCATAGATGAGTTTTGTTGTTCGAGCTCCTCTTGCAAGAGCAAGGTCTACAGTGAAGAACAGTTACCCCACCCACCCCCGAATCTCTCACAGCTGGATCTCCAGGGTCAGATGTTCTGTGATGATAACAAGGATCCAACTGGTGGTGCAGGACTGAAGATGAGCCTAAAAAAATAATTTTATTTCAAAGGAATCGATCCTTGTGCGGCGGTGCCAGCAGTGCAAGGGGGACTGTTTGGAAAAATCATTTCTTCCCCACCCGTAAAGCCTATTTTGTGAACAATTCACAGATTCACTTTACCTATGTACCTATCCTTGTAGGTATTTTGACACCACATGTGAAACGAGTGTTAACATTACAGTCCATCTTTTCTCAAAGACAATAAAGGGGTGTTTGGTGTCCTACCCCAAATTAAAAAGAATGGTGCAGTTACACAGACCAGTTTATGTGTTCCAAAAAAGGCTGAAGACACATTTGTTCCCAAGTGCTCTTGTTGGTTTGAAATAAGATACCCATAATTAGTTAATTGGTTATGCCATTTAGCTGCTTGTTCAAAAATGGAAGGAAATGTTCTCTGTTCATGTTTATAATGCCTTGAATTGGCATGTACATCACAGACTAAGACTATATCGTCTGTAAGGAAAGTGAAGTGATCCAGCCATTCACAAAACATGAATGGTTACACACACATTAGAGGCAATTTAATCTGGGCCAATAATAATTCATATTATTCTGTGTTTGTCAGGAGCTCTCCTTTCCTGGAACAGTCACTCATGGCAGTTATAATCTAAGCATACACAACAGTACAGACCACAATGCAGCACACACACATAATGAGATGCACAACAACGATTAACTAAATAAAAAAATGACAGGAAAAACACATGATGTCAATGAAATTCTATTCTTTTTATTTAATGAATATTTTGGGGGCATGCTTTGTTTTTTCTCCCAGTGCAGAGCTGATTTCAGCACAAATATACCAGACAGTAGCAATTAACATAAACCAGCATTTCTTTGATTTACCATATTACTGCTTTGAACCTTCATGTTTAATAGGTGATCAGACAAATGACAGCATTTTGCGGTCATCTGATATAAATGAAAATGAAGTGAGTCACTTGGCAGCAAGTCCTATCCTTCTGAAAGTTTTTCTTCACATTGAAATCATTGTTTTCCCTTTTATCAACCAATATTTAAGTTCAACCCCCCAAAAAAATAAGTGGGTGTGACATAAATG